AGCTGCTATCCCTCACTGGAGGCCCCTGAGCACGTGCAGGGCAAGTCTGGAGCTCCCACATGGGGGAACTGAGGCTCAAACTTGACTTAGTGGTAGTGTACTACAACGCTGAGGTTCAAACCCTGTTAAATCCCACTGTGGGAGCCTCCAAGTCCTAAAAAGCTAGTGAGGGAATCAGTGGTGGCCAGGGGAGCAGGTAGAGGCCTCTTCTTTGCCCAACCCACTGAGTACTTGCAAGACACATAAGCAGGGTACACACTAGGGCAGTGATGGCGAACCTTTTGAGCTCGGCGTGTCAGCATTTTGAAAAACCCTCACTTAACTCTGGTGCCGTGTCACATATAGAAATTTTTTGATATTGGCAACCATAGTAAAACAAAGACTTATATTTTTGATATTTATTTTATATATTTAAATACCATTTAACAAAGAAAAATCAACCAAAAAATGAATTTGCGTGTCATAGGTTCGCCATCACTGCACTAGGGCAGCGTCCTGTAAAGGAACCCAAAGAAATGACAACCCAGGGAATGCTCTATTACATGTCTGCAGCTACCCTACTGAACGGGCCCTGCATTCATTATTCGATTGCCACCGAGTCATGTCTGCAACAGGCTGTGGTGACAGGTGGGATGCACTTGTCCAATGACCAGCTGGTGGAGCCTCCGCCAGCACCGGAGCAGGAGGGGGCAGAGATTCTCCGCAGCGTTGCCGCCAACCAACGCGATGCACTACTGAGACCATAGCTGGGTCCCAGCGCCGTGGCCAGCCCCTGGTTCCCACAGCTGTAGACGTGATGGCGGGAACCTCGGTGCGGCTGGAGACTCATCTCCCCAACTTATCCTCCGGGCTCCTGTCTGTGGGCCCCGGTACATGGCGCATATCGAGACAGTGACTTTCGGGTGCCGCCCCTGGATCCTGGCGTCACCACACAGTAGGTCTTCTAATAATAGCTGTCCGGCCACCCGGGTCCAGCTTCTGACCTTTTCGGGGTCGGGCTAGGGCGGGCAGTGTTCTGGCGCGTGGGTTCGAAGCCAGAGCCGAGCGACACAGGCGCGTACTGCGACGCGGGGCTGGCGCTGGCGTGACGTCACGGCGCGCGACGCGGACGCCGAGGCCCGGGAACCCAGGCGCTGGGCGGCCTAGAACCATGCCCTAGCGGCAAGCGTGTTGTGTGTTGGGGCGGGGCCGGCAGCCCAGGACCAGCACAGTTGGGAGGACGACTTGGGTGAGCCCGGGTGGAGGTCGGGGGTGCGTGCCGACTCGTGGGCCGAGGACTGGCCT